TTAATAAAGACGTTTTCCGAATTAAAATGCTGTGAAAGTATGTATTTATATGTTTCTAGTTAGGTTTATTTCTAAAGTCCGTTGATAGTTGCAAGGATTATTGGAGAAACAAAACAACAAGAATCAGCGTTATAGTTGAAAATTTTGCAGGACTAGTTTCGATGATTTAGCTACAGAACCATCTTCCTCAGCTGCCAAAGTGCAAATGAACGAGTTTCAAGGATGTTTTTCTCATCTCTTATAGTTATTATTCAGTTAATGTTATCAAAATAGTTGTAAACTTGATCACATTAAGCGACGCTTACAGTATTTAAAATGAAGAAAAACTTTTAGCCAGTCAGCTTTGAAAGTAAGCAACATCCCTTCCAACTCATGCTTAGCGCTCTTAATTTTACAGGAAATATTGGTAGAAATGCGCGTTTTAGTAACTGTTCATCATCTCGTTTTGGATAGCTTGAATTGTCTGAATATGTTGATCTTGTCGATCTGAAATGATTTATTAGAATATTGGGATCATAAAACGATAAATCCTGCAAATAAGATAATTATGGTATAACATAGATCTGTTCCAGATCATAGAAGCACAGGATCTTTCCTTCAAACCCTTTCTCTGAGAATATGAAGTTTGCCCAAAAGTCCGAAAGAGCCTGCATCTCCATTTGCGCAACACCACCAACTACTTGTGCCGAATGGTATTAGTTCATGCATTTCGTTTTTAGAGAGTACGCTAAAGCCCCTTGACAACAAGGTTTAACTACTTCAAGTTTCACTTGCGTAACTCTCTGCTAAAGTTTTGATCACAGGAGTACGTATAAGATATTATATTATATTTTTTAAATAACTATCTTGCCTTTTATACATGATTTTTCAGTTCTGTCTTCATTTTTGAGTACTAATCTTCATTTTTGAGTACCTTACTTAGCATGTCAATTTGATAATTACCTTACTCAGTAGACTAATAATTCGTTGTCTAAAACGACAGTAGATTTTATGCTGTTATTTAAAGTGTTGCACCTTAATAAGGTATTTTAAAATATGTTTCAAATTTTCCACTGCTTTTGGAGAAAAAGAGAGAGAAAAAAACTTACTTAGCATGCTTTATAATGTGAGAGTTGCACCCGAATTAGATAAAATTACATTGTAAAAAGGTAGAGCTCTCTCTACCATCTATGTAGTAAGAAAAAATCCAGTACTTAGCGTCTTGAACAGTGAACTTCAGTTACCATTTCGTTTTCGTTTCAAACTAAAAATGACGTTAATAAAATGTAATAAAGAAAGTAGGAAAACAAAATCTTCTGTGCATAGTACATAAAGGCCAACTGTATAATCATCGTAGGCATGAATGTTTCAAACCAAAAATGACGCTAATTAAATGCAATAAAGAAAGTAGGAAAATAAAATATACAGTGCACAGTTCATCAAAACTAAGTGCATAATGATCGTAGGCATGTATGTTTCATTTACTGTATTTTCATAAAATTAATTTATGAAAACACATGAGAAATTTTCAGCTTGTAGGGTTCTAGCCCGTGTAAATCTACCTCAAAGTCCTTTAATTTTACTTAGACAGACAAGGATGTTATCGCTTCCTCTGTGAAAGTACTGCCAATTTCCAAACAAGATTTTAAATAAACTCTTTATTTAAAGCTTCAAGTTTGCGCGTACAATACTCCACTTTGTGATAGTAGGCAAGAGAAAGTTGAATTTACAGATTAAAGTTGGATTCGCAGCCGGAGACTACAGTATAACTGGCCTTTTAACTAAGCGTTGGGTAAAACTTCTAGTTTTGTGATTTAGCTTCGGCTAGCATAGTGGCTAATGCTGGAATCACAACCAAGCAGAGATAGAGGAGACATAAATGGAGCTGCGAGCGTCGCTATCAAAAGCTCTCTATTTGAAACTTCAAATATCTCTGATTTAAATAATCATAACTCATTTGCATTTTGGTGAGAGCTTACTAAAAAGAGAAGTATAATTCAAAATAATAACAAAATAGGTTAGTTAAATTCTATACGATGTCAATTGGTTTATACATTTTTTTTTAAACTGAGCTTTTGACCTTAGATAAGTTAATTAATTGTTTTTAATAACATTAACATTCATAGCATCAAAAGATTCCTCAATGCACTCGCAAGGTCAAACACCTGTTATTTTGTACCGTGCTTTCTTATTTCAATATATTCTAAATCTCTCATTTCTTAGATTGTAAGATTTCTTTAATGATAATTCGATTTTTATTAGCCTAAAAGGGGCCATTAGTCTCGAAATGGATCATTTGAAAAACGATTCTCCGTTTTCAAATCATTTTTCAAATAAATCATTTCCAAATATTATTGCCCTGTATTATTATTAAACAAATTTAATAATGTAGTATCTGCATGTATGTATGTATGCTCTTCATATCGTGAAAAAGCGCCCGTACCTAGTGCTATCAAATTCTGAATAACGTAGTCCTCCACCCGTATATGCTAATTTGGAAAGACGAATTTCGAAATTTAAATTTCATATTTTGTGAAATATTAATGAATTTTGGGTTAACAATCTCAACGATTTGAAAGGGAGCAGTGGCAATACTGTACAAGGTAAAACATTTTTATCTTTAGATCGAGAGTCTCTCTGTCAGAAATTCTAAAGATGTGCTGTTTTTAAACACTTGGAATTCTGCTGTTGAACTGATGTTTATGTTCCCGTCAAACATCTGAAACACCAATGTATATGGATATCTGATGGAATGGATGCCCTTTTCCCCTGTCATGTAGAATGCTACAGCATTAACAAAAACCTGCCTAAGTAAAGTGATAACTTCTTTGTTGGGGGTTTTTGTGCAGTTTCACCTACTGGGCTCAGTTTACTTTTAGGACAGAATTGCAAGTGCGAGCATCAATAGCTAAACGTTGACTCTAAACAAAAGAGAGAAAAAGTGCATTCAAATAAAACAGCTATTTTATTCACTTCAGAAGAGTGATTGGCATGTGATCTGTAAACCAATGAATCATGAACGTGATAGTGGAAAGCACCAGGTACAGAATGGATGCAGCAGTTGGGGCGATCTGCCGATATCTGAATGCACAGGCGATTCGGGCGAATTGGCTGTGAAAGGGTTGAACACACAAAAGATTAATAATAAATAGATCAACAAAATTTTACAAACCATTTTATCAAGAAATCTGAACATTGATGTTCATTATAAACAGCAGATCACTTTTCAAACTATTTTCTTTAAAAAAATAAGTAAAAAAATATGGAAAAATAAAGAAACAATCTTAAAAGTTAGGACGCATCAGTGGCCGAGCAGTAAAATCGCTGAACACTGACAGTTCGACCTTGGCTTGGCAGGGCAAGTATCGTGTTTTCCTCAGGCTTAACGTAGATATCAGACATTTTCACTTAGAAAGTCCTCCACGAAGGCATTTCTTTTCCTCTACGATAGCAAATAACCCTTGAGATTTGCCATAATTAAATAAACCCAAATGATTAAAATATTTATAATAATATGTATGTACAAATTTATGCAGCTGCATTATTTATAGACAAATTTATGCAGCTGCATAACAAGATAGAGGAACTTCAATAAGTCTGTCGACCGATTAAAATTTGTCTCCCGTTTCTTTGCTGGGTCATATCTTGAGAATCCAATGAGGTGAACTATTAAACATTTTTGAATAAACATGGGAATAGACCTAAGCTCTTTCTCAAGTACGAATCCTGAAAGGTTCTTAAATCTTTTGATTGTATCTCTTGATGTGAGAATAATAAGATGAAAGAAGTTCACATTTTACTAAAAGTTATTAATTAAAAAAATGAAACTTATGCTTAATAAACAATAAATTTAAGAATATAATTTTGAAAAAAAAAAAAAAACGCTGAACATTTAACAAAAATGCAAATGAAATTTAGTAATTGAAATACAGGCTTAAAACTCTTGAATCTTGATGTTCAGTTTTCTGAAGGTAGTTTCGACAAAAATGTCGAAGTAACAACTCATTATTTTTTAACATTTTACACAAATCTTTTAAATCGAAGCATATCGCAACATGGATAGAATTGTGTTAAGAGTTAATACGTGTAAGCATTGTATATAAATCGTTAAAAATTGAAAGAGTTAACATTCAAGGCCACCACGAGATGATATTAATGACAACTGAACTTGTAGCAATCAGGCTGTTTTTATAATAAATGCTTCTATTAGATTTCAATAAAACTACAACAAAACTTTGCGATATTTTGAGTTAAAACGCATTTACTGCTTTTAGTTAAAATTCAGATCTGATTGACCAATAAAGGAAAAGGTTAGAATTTTTGAAACGGAAGTTCTTTTCAAGATTCAAAACATTCGAAGATTTGAATATCCAATCACTATTTATAAATAAATAAGTAAATAAATTTAAGTGGGGAGACAAGTATTAAAGTACATATCAAGGAAAAAGAATGACCTGCATTAAAAGAAAAGAACTCATTATTTTTTTTTAACCGCAACCGAATGTGTTTTATATGTAACAAGAAAATACATACATTACTGAAAGTAAGTAGTCATACATTCTGCAAATGAAAAGCAAAGTAAGGCGAAAAGTATTTATAAGTATATAATAGAAGCTTTAATAAGATGTTTAGAAATATTCGGCAGCATTTTATGACTTTAATGAAACGAAAAGATTAAAAAGTGCCTTTAATGAAACGAAAAGATTAAAAATGTCAACTTCAAGCAAGAATATAAGACTCAGAAAAAAATAATAATAACAACAAACCTAAATACTTATTCTCAAAATTAGCAATTAATTACTTGCTGGAAATACGTAATTAGATTAAAAGCATTTACTCAAAAATATGGCTTTATCTTTTTATTATTGTCTTTGTTTTTCCTGTAACGAAAACAATGGAATCACTATAATGTTCTTTTCGCACTCGATAGATGGCGTTGGTATGACATGGACTATCGTGGTACAGGAGCTTTCTCTACTTCCAGTTTGAAATAACACTCCCATTAAGATCTGAGCCGGAGCTCGACGGCAACAGAATGTTACGAGCTCTCCGATCTGTTCATTCTCTTTTATGGCACTTTCTTGGTATTTAAGTATTTATACACAACTTTTGGAATAACTTCAACAGGTCTAGCACAGAAGGAGGAACTCTGTGTGGCTTATGACAATATTATAGGAAATTACTGTTATATTCTTATTTCAAACAATTTTACAGGTAGATTTTTTGAATAGAGATGCGCTGTGATTCACTGTTGCTCTCAAGTGATTTTCTGCTATGTGATCTCTTGTTTTTGCTCATTACTCTCTAAGGATAAACCAATACGAGAGGTAGGAATATTCCACAAAAGAATATTTTGTGCTCTCTTTTCTTGTTTCTAGTGGAAGCGTAATTGTTATGCCAAAACTTTGTGGGAAAAGTTATTTAAGTAAATAACATATATATGTTAAACTCATGCTTAGATTAAAACTGCTGTCCTAACTGAAAAATTTAAATATTCAAAAACATTTTCAGTGTTGTTATACTCTTTTGTTTAAAAATGGCAGCGATTTATCACGTCTGTTATTAAGGAGTTCATTATAAATTATATTCTTCATTTATAAATCTGCTTGTTTCGTTTTGATTTAAAAATAACAATGGTTATGAAAATTTAGAATATCACACCTTTTCTTACAGGAATTTATTATTCAGCTTCATCTGTTTGCATTTCGTAGATTATTGGATTATATTACGATTTACAAGTCGTTATAATGACTGAAAATTTCATCGCAAGAGATTCGAAAAGCGAAACTAAGGTGCTTGTTGAGTTTCAGATTTTTGATAAGGAACATAATTTATAAAATAAAAAGAGATACGATCTTGGAATTTACTTTTCGCTGAGGTGATATTAAATCTATTGTCAGATCTTGGTTTTAAAGAATACACTTGTGAGAAATTTAGGTCAGTTATAAGTAGAATAAGATAAATGATGAAAGGCTAATTACGCCAGAGAAGTTCTTCGGAGAATTCTTAACATAAGTTTTAGTACAGTATTTTTTCACATGTAAGCTTCACCGAATCTAATACAGTAAACGTATTTCAGTATTACTTATTAGATGAATATTCCAATAATTTAAACGATGATTTAATGCTGCAAAAATAACAACAGAGTTTGAAACACTGAAGTTTAATCTGTTTGCTCAGGTATTTGAGCTAATTATATAACATTTTTTGGAAGTTTTTCATACATTTTCTGAGAAAAATAAAAAGAAAAGTTATTACTACTTAAGCAACATTTGAAAAAATAATTCATTTCATAATTTTCATGATTACTGCTATCTTTTTCAGTTATTTAAAAAATACATAAAAAATAAGATCGTGATCAGAATCGAAGTTAATCAAACTGCCGTTACTGCTAAATAGAAAAATGAAAATTTGAAACCTCAAGAGTATTTGCTACTATAAAGGGCATCTTTGCATATGACGTAAATGATTTCTTTTGTAACAGGTAAAGAATATTATTTGCATTAAAGTCAACAAAGGGTAACGCGTAAACCATGGAACGTAGGTATAATTATGGAAGACTTACGTATTTATATTTTGTGCTTTTGGTGCTGTATGCCAAAGAAATACTGTCCATCGACCCAGATGAACAGTCGGACTCCAATAAGTACCAACCATTATCTAGTGTTGTAACCACCAAATACGGTTCACTTCGCGGTGTCATCGAGAATCTTCCCAATAAGCACCTGCAACCAATAGAAATGTTTTTGGGTGTTCCATATGCAGGAGTACCAGAAGGATCCTTGAGATTTCTTCCTCCAGGAACTCCACCCCAGTGGAAAGGTATTCGAACAGCAGATCATTTGAGCCCCGTGTGTCCGCAGAGACTGCCAGACATTTCTAACGAGACGGACGCTTTAAAAAGGATGCCATACGGAAGATATGACCATTTAAGAAGATTATTGCCGTTTTTAGCCAATCAAAGCGAGGATTGCCTCTATTTGAATATTTATGCCCCTGCAGGTGGTAAGTAGAGTTTATACCATTCTTCTTCTTCTTCTTCTTTTTAAAATTAATTTCTTAGAATATTCGACTCGTATGATAAAAGAATCAGAGTTCTGAAAATATTACAAAATGACAGCCTGATGCATATGCATGTCAGAAAAACGCAACCACATTTCCAGGTTAAATGCATACAGAGAAACTGTACTTTGTTTTGAACTTTGTTTGAACTCAGTGATAAATTTTCTTGCCATTTTGCGTTTTCATTTCCGATGGACGTTAGAGTGTTGTCAAGAAAGGAATGTTCACGAAAATTGCATAGTGACTACTCAGCAGTAGCGTATTCTTTCATGGATAAAGTGGTTCTGTGTTCGAATGCTAATAAACGCGCTAGTGATATGATGTGGCAATGAGTGTTTAGCTGTCGCTGAGCATATCGTTTGCATTGTATTTCATTTTCAAAATAGTTATATCAGAAAAGGTTAAAGTGATTTTGGAAGATTTTGAATATCGGTATACGCTTTGAATATTGAAATAAAACAGTATTATATGGCATTATATTAACTAATTCTAAAAAGGGCAGAAAAAAATAAAATGCTGGAAAAATGTATAGATTTCTTATTAACTTAAACTTCCAAATAAGTTCACTCAACGGTTAGAAACTGAAATAAAATCTGTGTATTTAATTGCAAATTATATTTTTTAACAAACTATACTTCCGTCTTCAGAAATTAGTTCACGTAATTCATCTCTAGTTTTAATATATAAAATATCTAAATAAAATTAGATTTTTAGTGACATATCTTTCATTAGACGCCTGCTAGATATTGTGGAGGATTTTTAGATCTGGCGGGATTTGGGAGTTAAAGTTGTATAATCTCCGGTTTTACGAATTCATATAAAGTTAGTAATTTTTAGAGGCAACTTTCTAAGAAATATACGCACTAATTATTAAGTACACGTCTATTAGCCTGAATACAAAATGATATCTCATAGGGCTGAAATTAAAATTTTCAAATAGTTTAATGGTTGCCATTTTACCAGAAGATAATTTTACAGGATATATAACTTTTTACAGGAAGGCTTCACAAATACATGTTTTACAAGAAGAAACAGGTTTTAGAAATTTGAAGATCTCACATACGTGAAATACGTAGGTACGTTAAAAGCGTTTGGTTTTATCCACCAAATATTTAGAAATCGTCTATGAAAGTTCGAGAGTAAACCTATTTTTATTCAGTCGAAAAAGCCGTGCTTTACAATGCTTGAAATTTTATTTCATCTTTCAGATTATTATAATCTGCCAACAATTGATTACCATATTTTCCCTAATTTCTAAACTTCAAATATTTTCAAGAAAAGGAATCTGATCTTTATTTATATTATGAGGTAATACCTTTTGTCATGTAGTGAGAAGCCTGCACTAAGTGCAGTAGTAGTTACTCTGATTACAAATACTGAATCAGTGCGAAATTATGTTATAGATACAATAGGACATATAATACTGTATCATCTGATGAACTATATCGGTTTTAAAAAGAATCGAGAGTTATTTAAAAAAAAACCAATAGATAATCTTACTTTCTACAATTTTTTCTTTCTCTTTAAATTTACAAATGTGTTTTTTGCTCGAATTATTTTTTTCTTTAAATTTTTTTATTATGTTTTTATTTTTGTATATGATTAAGTTTCGAAAATTAAATTCGGACTTCCTATATTCTTATGATTAGAAATAATAGTGGATTTGTATGAAGCGTTTAAGTCGACATTAGTCAAAATCATAATTACAATACGAAGGTTAAATGCATTTCATGATTATCTAGGTAGATTTTGTTTACAGCAATAACTAATTACATTGTTGAAGCGTGAAAGCATATGTATGCTGAATATAGCATTTTAACAGTTTTCTAAAAAAACATTAAAATACATACCTAGATAGAATATGTATGCTGAATACAGCAGTTTAACAGTTTTTTAAAAAAACATTAAAATACATACCTAGATAAAATCAGATTTTGACCGCTTATGGGGATTTTTGGGTTTACTTTGTTTCAACTTTGTTACTAATGGACTCTGTGCTTGCAGCAATGCTGCGGAAGATATGGAACATATTTTATTGCATCGTAGGTTGCATGCATGTGCCAGAAGTGCATTTAAAGTGTGTTTAGGGCAGCTCTCTATGTGCTGGCCTCCTGTTTTCTGTGATATTATTAGAAGCTCCGAAGCCTTTACCATCTTCCGCGACTTTACTTGTTCTTTGAACTTTTAGTAATATATGACTGAATTTTTATCTTTTATGTGTCATTGTATTATTTTGCGTTATGTCTATGTATAATTACGTTAACGTTATGTATTGATGTATCATTTTTCTTTCTATCACTATTATTTTTAAGTATTATTTCATTTTTATTATCAATGCATTATTATTAAGTTGGTTTATTTTCTTTTATAGGAGTATTAACATAGTCTAACTATTGATGGTATAATTTAGTATTTTTATTATAATAATATTTGTATTTTATATTTTTTCTTTGCTCTCTCCAGGTCTAGATAATATGTTTTTATTGTTCAATTGTATCCTTGTACTATGAGTTATTTATTTACATCTGAGCATCGTGGAACACGAGAACCTTTGTATTTGTTTCCTTAATTAAAAAAATTAGTTTGAGAATTATAAAACATGTGAAAATAAAAATAAAAACAGTAAAATATATAATATGTACTATTTTTGTTTTTAAGTTTTCATATTTTTGTTTTTATATATTTATATGTTTATTAAACTGGCTGTAGGTGAGGAAGTTCACGTTATTAAATACCTACTTTTACATAAATTAGTAAATTTAAACCTATTTATCACGCGATTATGCATATTATATATATATATGTATAGGTCCATTAAATGTGCATTTTCTATGAGTTTCAACGGATCTTTTTTATATGTGAAAGCTGAAAAATTCCAGGCTTTTCCTGCTAAAATATTAAAATAATTTCTTGATTACCGAAGGTAATGAATTTGTTTTCGTAATCTTGGAGTTCACCATTTAAATAAGCTTATTAACTAAAATTAGTAGAAGCAATAAGAAAGGTTAACAGTCGAGTTTATTTCGACTGTTTGCAAAGCAAACACATAAAAGAGTTATAAAAATTATCGATATTAAATAGTGCTTTTAACTAATTAAAAAGGAGATAAAAAGATACCCAAAGAAAAGAGAAAAATGTTAAGTTCTTTAGGATCATTAGGATTAAAGATTTCTAAACGCAGAAATAAAGACAGTTTAGTTTTCATTGAAACAGGAGAATTTCCACGGTGGAAAATGTTAAAAGAATCTTCTTACAAGCTAGGAATTTAAGAATAAAATATAAAATAAATAGTTTTAGCATACATAAAAAATAGTAAATAAATTATTTGAAAAAAAATTGTCTCGTTAAGATTTATCACGACCAAAGCCATTATTATAATCGGCTCTTAAATGATAGGTTGTAAGGTATAATTATTTTCCTAACTATTTCAGATTTATTTTTCTTATCCTTTATCTCAATTTTGAAGTGATATATTTTTCAGAAGTACATAAAGATCTATAAATAAATAAATTAATAAGAGTTTATTTTTTCTAAAATGTTCTTTTTCTGTAAACACGTATGAGAATTATTCAATAATCAATAATTTTCCAAATTCCAGAACCACATCTGTTTTCTAAAAATAAGAAGATTCTTCTTTAATTTCCAAATTTTAGCGCCCATCGATTAATAAATATTATCGTAGGAAATTCTCCCTCTGTGGCAGAACGAAATGAATTTACTTGTACGTAATTCCACTAAGGAGTTATTTTAAAGAATTAACTAGTTGCATTAATATCTGAAGACTCGAAGCTAATTTTGAGCGGTCCCACATAAGCGTTGTTTAATTAAAGATTAAATGTCATAAGTTTTATATTTAAGGGAGAATAGTAATCTTCTGATCCTTTAGGCTTGAAATTTTCCGTTATTCTCTGTGTGTATAATAAATAGGTAGTATACTGGGCAACCCGGTTTATTCAGAAAGCTTCAGCAATTTTGATTCTGCTGTTCTTGAAACATAGAGAGATATGATGCATATTGCTTCTGATTTTATTTTTACTCAAAATAAAGACCATCCTTTTCCTTTATTTCGAATAATTGACTTAGGTTCTTTATCTGTATAAAGGACAGTTAGTGAAAGACACGTGTAAATGAATCAAACATAGATGATTAAGTCCGAGGTTTGTTCTGAAAGATCATTAGTTTAGTAAACCATGAGGCAGTTTTTATTTGATTGCTAGCTAAGAAAAGTTGAATTTTGATGTATTTTACAGTGCTGGATGAGACAGAATTTTCACTGATTATCAGACAAAGGTAATGGTCGGATTGGCCGTATCCAAGTTTCAAAAACATTAAAGAAGCAAACACAGTTGGCAGCATGGAGTGAGAAGCTGGCGCACATCCACATCTGTGAGTGAGACTATTCGGAAAACAGAGGAACAGATGAAAGACGACATACATTTGCCCATTCGTGGGCTGTCCTATGTCCGCATATTATTAAGAAGTACCTGAAAATGTCCCGTATTTGCCAAATGTGGACACGTTCAATGAATGAACAACGAAAACTCTGACACTTCTAGCCTTTCTTGAAAGAATAGAAAACTATCCTGAATTTTTTAATATAAAAATCACCGTCGAACGATGGATGATACATTGTAATCTGAGTTTAATATAATGTCTAGGCTGTCGTTATTATGATTTTACTATCGAAGACAGTGTGCTTTGAGATTACAATGTCTGAATGGACATAATAATCTCAAAAGGAAGCAGCAATCCAGCATATGAAAACACTGCGATTTACCGCCTTCCTCAGAAATTCGGGATTTTGGTTTCTAAAAGAAGTTGATTTTGTGTTTTGATACATGTGGAATAGTATTGTTTTATTCGTTTCCTAGCAAACAAACTGTAAATGGAAATTATTATTCTAATGTTTTTGCAAGCAACATTTTGGGGGGATTATTTCATGCGAATGGTTATCTTGTGAGAATAACACTATAACTCACCTTTATTTATTTTACACAAAGTATTTACAGGCACGAGACAGAAATTTTGAAGAAAATTAGTCGACAATATCTAGATCATTTCTAGAACGGTCTAAGCCATCTCTACATCATTTTCGAATAATCGGAGATTTTTTTGGTTATTCCAACAATTATGAAAGAGTTACTAGGAAAGAAGGTTATTAGCTCAAGTGACAAAGCTGAACATTTCTACTTACACCGACTCTCAGAAACCAATCTACAGCTTATGTTTGATCTATTCGTGCATGTCTAGAAACTGGGTGTAGAAGCTGGGTGAGAAAGCAGCTATATCAAGAATGTGATCCACACGAAATATAGTGACAATGACTAACTGGAATAGTGATCTGAATCCACACGCGCTTGGAAGAGTATTCGTAAAAGAAGTAACATTTTCTAACTTTTGATCGTTTGACAAAGATATAATTTTATCTAACCTTATTTTTACACAATAATGAACAGCCAGAAATATAAACTTACAACCTGCATCTTTCGTATTAATTCTTCAATCATTAGTTTTGTTCGTGCATTTTCCCATTATTATATATAAAAATGCAAAAACTAATGTAAATCTCAGTTCAAAAATGCTAGAATATTGGAAGTAACACTATACAAATAAATATTTCTTATATTTTTCTTTAACTGTTATTACTATATTATCAAATATAAAAATTCTTCAGAAGTCACAATATGCTCTCGAATATCTTAGTCTTAAAAAAAAAAAAAGAAAATCTAAACTCAGTGGCGCAACAGCCTTGGTGGGCCATGGCCTGCAGTGCCCCGAAATCTGCTTTCTTGACCTTGGGCTCCGGAGTGCATCAGCATATGCCCTGGGCAAGTGGCCAGCTTCTCGCAGGACCCTCGATGTTAAGTCCCCAAGCGAACTCGGTACTCATTTTATCGACCCACTCAAGGGATGAAAGTCTGAACAAACCTTGTCCAGCCCGAGGATCGAAACCCGGATTTGTGGTGTAACTACGCGACGTGCTAGCCACTATATCTAAATTTTAGAACCAGATAAATTAAAGCTCAGTATAATTCTATATGTCTTATTTGGGTACAGTTTGGCAAACAAACAAGTAAAAAAACTTGTTAAATTGGTGTTAATTTTTCATTTGTCGCTTTCTCATTTGACTTCTTTCTGGGAAAAGACATTACGAAACCAAAGAAGATATTAGAGTGATATTTATGAATTGCTTTTGTCAACTATACTGGATCTTAAATGAAAAAATGCAGAAGCTTAATTTTAATAACATCTATAATTCAAATAAATTAACATTTCAGATTTAAAGAATTCTAAATTTAAAGTATGAAAAATGCTTGATTAAAAACATACTGTATTGATGTTTCAAATATTTTACACAAAGTACTTAGAGTACAACGAATAAATGAAAAAATACTATTTTCCTTTCTTAGCAACAAATTCTGCTTAATAACTGAAAAGCAAATTCTGGAAAAAGACATTTTGTTGATTTTTGCATTTATTGCCGTTCGATGATTATAAGAAAAAATCAATTTCATAGATAACTAGTAACAAGAAATCATGAAATTATATTAGGGTATCGATTTGAAATAGGCTGCACTAGAGGACTCCCGCGAGCTACCTAGTATGTTCAGATCATTGTTGTTGTTATTGCTGTAGTTATCATGTCACTTCTCTGACAGTAACATCACAACAAGCGCACGAAATTCATCGTGGCAAAGAGTGCAAGATTACGCCAGGCGTTGGCAATAGCCTTGAGCACCGTACAGGTGACAGTACGAATTTGCTCAGTTCCGCCCTCAGATTTGATGGAGAGCACCCCGGGAGGACGGGTCCGATGGTCTCCCACTCCTCTACATCTAACATCAACCTCTCGAGAGGACTTTCGACTCGCCACATATTTAGAGTGCCCCCGTGCCGCACAAACACTATACATTTACAAACATCCATGCTTTCTCTGGGATTCGAAGCCGGGCTCTCCGGTACGGCAGATAGCGTCGCTAAGCACTATTCCGATTGTGCGGCGAGTTTATTTGTTATACTGTCTAAGTTTTAACATTAAATAAAGAAATTTAAGTAAATGTAAAATAAAATAAGGTTGGGAATATTTTCACCTAATAATGCCGCGGCGGAGATGTTGATGTAGAAGGGAAGGAGGACGCAAACATCTTCCTATAGGCATCCTTCTTTTAGTGTTTAACAAGCAAAAATCTATTATTTTTATTTTACTGTCACCCCCTTAATCGTGATATAAGGAATAAGAGCAATTTATAGGTCGAAACTGGAGTTTCCTTTTTCCCAATTAGCATTGTAATACGTTAAATAAATTTTTAAAGGAATACAAAATAGAACAACTGTATTAAAAACTGTCGGAAAAACTGTATCGATTTCTCTTCTTTCAAAGCTGAAAAAAATGTTTTTCAAGAATTAGTGACCAAATGCTGTCTTTTATTCCATGTGATCAAGAGTTCGTTTTATTTGGTAAAAGCCCAATAAAGTTTATTTAGTACAGCTGAGGATTAATACTTTATTTCTCCTTCACTATCAAGGGAAAAAGAAATCCTTGTAATATATATTTTTATCT